CAGCAATACTAAACTGGAATTAGGCAGTGTTCAAAAAAAGACTGAAACCACCATCAACAGGGACATGAAATGAAGATGACAATGTAGGATTCCTCAAAGCATGAGCAGAATTCACCACAGTCCTCTGCACAGAAGACACTGGTATAAGACAATGCTCTGTATCCGTAGGGTGCTTTTCACCCGATTTATTTCCTTCTTAAGCAGTTCATACTGTTAGTTGAACAAGTTCAACTGTATTTACCAACCAAGTCTGGAGGCAGGGAACTATTTGTTCTCCATCTGACTTGCTCAGAAACTTACCCTCACTTCCATCTGTCTCTACTACTTGAGCTCTGGAAAAATATATATGGAGCATGCATTATTGCAGAGAGAGGTTTTCTAATGATACACTTGCTTATTGATTAACAGACCTACCAACAATTAAAGGATGTTGACTTACATGCAGCATATGCCCCAGGTATGTGAACAATACCTTTGCTTTCTACAATACTTGACACACAAGTCAAATTTCCAGTATTACCAAAATAAAAAAATGTTTCAAATTCCCATCAGCCTACTGCAAATTAGCTTCACAAGAACCACAGTATTATTTTTGCTTGAATACTGATATTTACAGGAAAATTATGAAGTCCATTATTAAGAAAGAGACAGCAATTTACGAAAGGATGATGCTAAGTTGAGGCACAGAAAGACATAAGCGTTCTACAGCAACAAAATAGCAGCAATGGTAACAGACAGAAGACTGAATTTCAACCCTATTATCTAATCTCTGGATTACAGTTATTTCTGTTTCACTCTACTGTAACCCAAACTTGTTCCAGCGCAACCCGTTACCCCTTTTGTTCTCTGTTATTCTTAGAAGGCATCAGAGAGGTCTGCAAAAATATCTAATGTAACTGAATGCTTTTGCACTGTACAGGTATTTAAATCAATTTATTACTATGCAAATCCTACAGAAAGAATTTGACATGCTTTATCAAATACCTCTGTCAGTACCCTCCATGACTCCCTTGTATCAATGACTGTTCTCACCTCTCCACATTAGTTAGCGCGTCACAAGAAGCATATCCCCAGTCCAAAACGATGACCCAATGGCGCATCCGTTACAGTACATGCTGTATGAGATTACGGCTACATTGCCAATAAAAAACCCAGGCACAGGAGACAGGGGAGGTGATGTTAGTACAGACAAACTTGACAGCATGGGGGAGAAGAGCTGGGTCAGGAAACACAGACAGCAGTAAGATTTGTTTGCCCCAAATCTTAAGGAAAGGTTTCTTACTGGTTTCCTTCAGAGGCCACTAACAAGAAAGCTCTGTGATTTCCAAGATTAACAAAGATAGCAAGAGCTACAGCACAGTCCTATGAAACAACACAGCACAGCAACGCTATTATGCAGTTTCCTTTAACAGGGGATCATCTTGAATACGGTGACACTCTTGATTTATTATTTCTAATGCGACGGACAGAAAAGGCAAGGCTGAATTGTTGAACTGCACACAAGGCTATACTCAAATAGATAAAGTAGGATTTTAGGGCCATATGAGTTTGCTTGTTTAGCTTTTATTAAAGCTATGATTTAAAACTGTTTGCAACAAGTTGCTCCACAGTTTTAATGGAGGAAGAGTTAACCAGCCTGTGAGATGTGAGAATGTTTCAGTAAATTCACTGTAGGACAAGGACAACCACATCTTGGAAAACAGCAGTTGCGGTGGAACAGAAGCACAATGCACTGCCTCCAGACTTTGATCAAGGGTACAGCCTGAGAGGGGAGCCATACAGGAACGGCAAGGAGGCATGCACACTAACAGGTGGCAGCTGCCCATGGGCATATAACCAGAGAGGTCCCAGTGCCACATACCATCGTACATGGGATTTGAACACAACTATTTCTCAGCTGCTCAGAAATGAGGCAGCTCAAATGAGATTTGCCAGCACTAGCGAACATTATAATATTGTCCCAATAAGAATACCCATGTAAATCAGGGGTCTGCAGCCTTCATGATGTATAGCTCTAGAAACTTACACTGGGAGCATGGACTGCTGCACAGACGATGTAAGCCTCCTGAGAGTATACCTGGTTTTCTCATTAGTTTGGTTGATGCCTTCACAATAGTCAACAGACTCCTTCCCACCCACCCAGCTCCCCCTGTATCCCAATCTCCTTATGGTTGAGGGCTCAAGAAGTCTGAGAGCAAACAGCCATTGAAATGTACACTTAAACAAAAGAGCCCTTCACTTCCACCTTGAATTCAGGCTTCCAGCCTAACATGCTGCAGGAGAGCACTCCTCTAACTGTGGTCAGCTCTTGAGGACTGTGAAGATAGCCCTAAGTATAGAGGTTGGACTTAGCCTCTAGGGTGAAGAAACAGCACCTGGTGAAGGAACTGGTAGAACTGAAGTACTAGAGCAAGCATAAATAGCATGATCAAAAGGTCCAGGTGGTAAAATTGACGCCATCGTGCATGACAGTAGCAGACAGATTCAATAAGCCTACCAGAAATGTACAATTTCTTCAAGCTTTGCAAAGCTTTTGCTTACGGTCTCCCGTTCCCGTCCCTGCCACCATGTACCCTTTGAAAAAAACATGTGGAAATTTGAGATCTCTGCAGTGGGCCGTTCCATATTGAAGCTGAACACTATCTTACTTTCTGAAAAAAAATCCAAGCTGCACTGTATAAAATACCTTCTTCCTGATTAAAGCTTAGAAAATGGAAACAATATCCCCACATACACTTCTTATTTTTACACGTATTAACTGTTATACGCAAACTAACTATTTATAATTTCTAAAAGTTTAAATCAGTAATTTCACTTCAAATAGTCTGTGGTTAAAAATATTGCTGTATTTGATATTATCATTTCAGAGAAAATAAATCCTGTAAGATCAGTGATATGTTTTAACTTACATAGCTCTGTAGAATTTGAGAATTTTAAGAGACTTTGGGTGGGGGAATTGGGTTTTTGGTTTGTAGTAGCACTTTTGATTGGGTTTTCATTTTTTTCATAAGAGGATGTTTCTTGTTGCTGTTTTTAGACCACTGCATCTCTATTCAGGTGATACTATTCTTTTCTAAGCGCTATCAAGAAAAGATACAAAAAGCAAGTCCCTGAACTGAAGACTAAAAGGATATTTATCCATAATTATATATGGATATATTATCCATATATACTGCTTCCTCTTACTGCTCTCAGAATCTATCCCACAAACTCATTAGATAAAAATCATATTTTCACTGAGAGTTTCAAACTTAAATATCTTTAAAACCAAAGTTTCAATATTTAACCTATACAAAAATAATGGTTTAAGTTACTTAAATGGTAACAAAGGTACACAGAGTAATGTTAAGGTATATTATGATTACTTTAAGAAATCTATCAGAGTAAGGGATTTAGCTTTAGCAGGTCATTTTACCTCCACCAGCCTTCCAGCAGTGCAGCAGCTGTCACAGACATGAGAACAGCCCACTAAGTCCTCAGCCAAAGCTAAGGTTCTAGCTACAAAGTGCTCTACCCTGTTTCATACTGAACTTCACCTTTGTGGTTAAACGCAGCTTTAGGGAAATGCACCCTTTGTACTTAACTACTGTTACCTCCAGACCTCACTTCAGTACTTGAGAGAGTATCAGGTTGTGACCTTAAGCTATCAAATACAATCAGGTGACTAGTTGGAGTTCTTATTAAAAATACTCCATATCCATCGAAGAGTTCTTGCTCAGGAATAAAACAAACGTGTTTTAGATATTAATTGTACTGCTATGCACCAACTGTTGTTCTACAACTGCTTTCACAAGTTCCCTACCAGCATCCTCTCCAGAGAACAACAGAGGTGCCACAGTATTACACAAAGCTTCTGCCTTTGTGCCTTATAAAGCCCAGCCCTCATGAACGCACCAACAACATAAGAATTGGGAATGAGGAACCTCATGAGTCTTAATCAGTTGCGAGCAACTTAACACATGTGCCCTTTTGCCTCTTTGGTCATCAGTTTTTCCCATCGATAGGATGGGTATATTGTGAAGGCAAATAACATCTGAAACAGGGAAACGCTGCAAGCAGAAAGCCCCTGAAGTCCATCCTTCCATATGCTTCTTTGGATATCTACAAGTTTCCAGTGCTGTAGGAAGTGGATGTCTGCACTACTTAGTGATGAATAGTCATCTACGATTCACAGAACTCATGCCAGAGGGGCAGACCCACAAGTCAAACCTTTTCATCTCCTGTGCGTTTTTGAATAATGTACTGGTGGGAGGAAGCAGAAAAGCTTTGTAACTAGAGCAAAGAAAATTGCAGAATTTGTCTGAGCCGTTTTTTCACCTGACATAAGCATATTCCATAAGATTCTGAAAATATCTTTTTTAAAATTTTGCTTCTCTTTGAAAGGCAAGAACAAAATATACCTTTGATCAAAGATATCCACCAGAAGCAACACTTTTTAAAATGACAAAGGTGTTGCTTTATCGTTTTCATCAGCATTCAGACTATTGATAGGAATTCTTTCGGAAAACAGTTCTCTGTACCTCTATGCCCTGCATATTTCTGACCTTCAACGTAAACTTGAGAAAAAAAATTAATAGAACAGGGTTCTCAGCACTAGAGGACAGAATCACTCACAGTAACCTTGATGTTACAGAAATTAGCATTCCAGGAACTGGGAAGATTAGACAGAACTGGGCCAAATTAATTCAGTGGCTTCTGTCATGGAGAGATGGACTCTGCAAACACCTGTTCCTCTTTGTGAGCAGCACTCATGCTCTTGGAATGACATCAGAACAACATTTAGCGGGAAACCAGTTCTTACTAACCTCACCAATACAACATAGAACCTATCCAAAGGTGCAAGTTCATTTTAGACTGACAAAACTATTTTTGCTGGGCTGTCAGTAACAGGGCAGCAGTGTGCCAGGGAGCTCTTTTCACCAAACCCTACCAACTGCACTTGCTGCAACAAGATCATCCTCCTGCTTGAAATGCAGAAGGACTATGAAAGAACCACTTACCTGGAACCTGTGAACCAACTCCAGTGACTGGCTGTCATTCTGGTCTGCTTCAAGGATGACATCTGTCAGTTTATGTATGATCACATCCAAAGGGCCCTGATCTTCAATGGGTTTGGTGAGGTCAAGCTGAAGAAAACAGAGAGAAACCTTTTATTAATATATGGAGGATGTGAGGTTCCTGTCCTTGCCACTGTCCAAGGTGTTGCTGCCACACAGAAGACAATTACTTTACACGCTGCCTTATTTCAGTATGTTACCCAAATCCCTGAGAATTTACATTTCACTGAATATCAGAAAACTTTACTCAGACATTTATTTCTCAGCAGTGTAGATGTAATTCCATGAAAAAGCAGTGAGGTCATTGGCAAGCACCCTTCATCCAAACACCTTTCTGTACTTCACCCTGAGCCAACATTTCCCTCTTCAGTACTCATTACCGGAAC